AAAATAAATAAATTAAATAAAAAAAATAAAATAAAAAAATAATTTTTATGTAAAAACCATGACCTTTCTCGAGCAGGCAAACAATTTTAATATAAAAATAATAATAATAAAAGAAAATAAAACAAAATAATATTAAATATTGATATTAAATTAAAGAAATTAAAATAAAATAATAAAGAAAAACCATAATAAAAAATAATATAATATAAGTATACAAAAAATAAAGAAAATAAAAATATAAAAAGATTAAGTAAATTAAAAACAAATAAAAACAAATTAAATAATGCTAAAACGAAAAAAATTAAAATAAACAAAATGAAATGAAAAAAAAAAACAAAATAAAATGGAATAAGGTAAAAAAAGAATGGAATAAGTTAAATTGAAATGAAGAATAAAATGGAAAAGTAAAAAAGGAAAATAAAATTAATGAAAGATAGAATTAATAAAATGAACTAAATAAATTACAAATAATAAAATAAACAAAATAAAATAATTTAATAATATACACTGAATAGAATGAAATAAAAATAATTCAAATAAATCAAGGTCAAATAACAAAACGTAATATTATAATAATTTGCATGCAAATTGCAAGAATCCAAGTCGTATATGTTTTCTTCAAGGCTAATTGAAAATCCATACAAAATAAAATGGAATTGCTTTGGTTAAAATGATATGAAATATTTGAACAACTGGTCAGAGAAGACATATTCTGTCAATATCTATATATTTTGGTATTAATAAATGGCGTTAAATATTATTATTATTCTTATAATTATTATTATGTACATACATATAATTAATATGTTCTTACTTCATTATGGAAAGACATCAAAGTTTAAATAATTAATATGCCCAAAGATGCTCAACTAATGAAACGTATAATTTCATGTTTCAATTTCGAGTAAAAAACTGCTCTAACATTTCCAAGTGTTTCAATTGATACGAATGAAATTATTAGATTAACGTTAAATTTATCGTTACGATGCAACCTTGGTCTTAACCTATATGTATTTAATAATTCAAGATAATTATTAAATCTTTGCCGTTAACTTTTCCACCAATCACGGTAAATTGTTTACTACCTTTTATTTGTTTATATTAAAAAAAATATCAAGAGGCTTATATCAGGTGATATATGTGTAAGCATAAATTTTATTTAATATATTCTGAAATTGGCTAAGTATACATACATACATTTTGTACATAATATAAAGAGAGATTATTACCAAAAAGAGATATCAATAAATTGCGTATGCACAAAAGTCTTTTATTAACGGCGGTGAGTGATAAGCCAATTTAGCATTTTAAATGTGTGGATTGCTGATAAAAGACAGTTATGTATGTATGTATAAATGTATGTTTGTATGTATGTATGTAAGAATGTATGTATGTATGTATGTATTTAAGTATGTTTTTAAGTATGTAAGAATGTATGTATATAAGTTTGCATGCATGAATACATATGTATGAGTATTTATATACCTTCCAGTTGTTTCGGGAATTTGGGTAAGGCAAATATAATAAATTAATTTTTATTACATAAATTTTGTTTTTAATCAAAATATTTACTATATTAAGCAAATTAAAAATACGCAAATAGTGTAAGAAAAATAAAATGTAAAAAGAAACAACTATCATAAACAGGTTATTTTGTCATGACGTCACAACTGTAGTTATCTACATATGTATGTATGTATATATAACGTAACTAACTAACAAATAAACAAATCTACTTGTCGTGCATGTAAATTTGTTTGTGACTCACATTTTACATACTTAAGAAGTCAGCGAAGAGCCAACGAAGCTTACGGAGATTGGAAGCATTAGAGGCAGCAGTCTCATTTTGCACCAAAAAAAAAAAAAGAAGTTTTTTAGGAACTTTTTTTGAAAGGGAAGGAAATGTTTAGGGTAAATGAAAATTTAAAACAATAATGTACTATATTTAAGCTTCAAAAAAAAAAACAATTTTTAGTATCAAAAAATATTCGTATTCTCCAATGTTGTGTTGAGTTTTCTGAAGCGGCTGCAGTCTGAACTTGTGAAACGGTGCCAATCGAACCATTTTTTTTTCATTTTTATGTGTGTCTCTTCTAAATGAACTCAAAAAAAAAAAAAACACCGAAGAAGTTGTAAAATTCCAAATTTTTTCGAAGCTTGAAAAAAATCACTTTAGATAAAAAATCACTTCAAGTTTGTTTAAAAAATACTTTTTTAATTCAAATAGAAGATAATTTTATACTGAAGCTAGATCACTTTATTTTTCGATCGGACATATATTCCTTTGCTGTCACCGGCACTGTTTTCTAGGACTTGTAAAAATGAAAATTCGAGAAAACGAGCGTCGGCTTCAGCTCGGCCACTAAAATAGTTCTAGCTTCTAAACTGTATCGAATTGGCCACAAAAAATTTTAAGACATCTTCATGGATACTTTTACTATAGATTTATAGAAAAAACGCAATTTTTGAAGCCCCTAAAGCAGACTAATTAATGCCTTAATTGTATTCAGAGTTCAGAGCATAAAAGTTCAAAGTCTTTTTTTTAATAGAATAAAATGATATAATAAAATTGTTAAGGAAAGGTAAACTAAAATAAATTAAATTAAATAACAGTAAAGAAAAAAAATTAAACTATAATAAAGAAAATGAAATCAGATAATTGATAAAATAAATCGAAATAAAATAAAATAATTCTAATTAAAATGAAAAATAAAATAGAAAAATAAAGTTAATGCTACTGCTTTAGCTGTACTGAGAGTTGAGAGCATAAAAGTTCAAAGGGGGGTTTTAAGCTTGAGTTCAAAAAAAGAATAATGTTCCGGTTTGAATGAATGAAATGAATGAGTTGAAATTCTCTAAACTGCCCGAAAATCCTCTCACTTAAGTAGCATAATATATTTATTTTCCTTTAAACAGAGTGTAAATTATTTTTTATCTAAATTATGTGGCTGATATATTATAAGTAGTAAAAATATAGTTGGTAGGCACACTTGTGTAAAGTATTTGGTAGGGAAATATAAATACATATATGTATATTCCTTTATTATTATGCAAATAACGGTATTATTCAATATTTATTTGAAACGTTGAAGCGTAGTTCATCAACAGAGAGACATGTGCTTATCACAATAGACTCGATGAATGTATTATTAGCTTTATAAAAGATAAAAAACTTTAAAATACACACAAACATGCCTATAAATAATTATATTTATTTGCATTTTTTATGATATTTCCTATAATTTATTATAATTTATATAAGTTTGTTACTATTGTTTGTAGTCGCCTACTTATGTATAAAGCCTTTGGTGATTATTAATATTCATTTCTACAGTTTGCCATCAAAATAACAATAATTCGATTGTGGTGATAAGTGTTGTGACATTTGACCGAGCACTTTGCGCATAAACTATATTAGGGTGGCCGTTATTTGGTGACCGAAAAAATTATTATTGTTGTTTGCTTATTAAGCAGATTAAAACTTTTCTGCATGGTTGAAATGTTTCTATGAGGTTGATTTTTCTTTGGAATTTTAGCATTGGCTCAACAGTGCGTATACGCGACCTATTGATGTACTAGATCCATTTACACCACCGTCAAACGAACTCGGTATTAGTCGAAGGATATTCGAAGGATTTTGTTGTGTGCTTGCTGTTATTACAATGAGGAATCTGCCCAGCTCGAGTCAAAAGTAAAGGAATTGTGTTTCATCAGGACACCGTCAGACCACACACACATCGATAGTGATATCGCCAGAAGTGCCGATAGCTTGGTTGGGAGCTACTTATGTTCGGTACCTCTGACCTTCTTTTCCAGTCTAGAGGAAAGGATTTATTGTAGGTGGGGAAGATTTGGTTTGAATAGAAGCTTATGAAAATCGATTGTCCCAACTTTTTTGCAAATTGAGAGAAGGGTTTCTCAGAGAGGCGAATGATGGCATAAATCGTATAATTCTATTTATGATAATGGATTACTTTTTACCAGAGCTAATCATATTTACTATATTAATATGGCAGTGGACACACTTGAACCATTTTGGAGAAAAATGACATTTCTATTATTGAAATAATAAAAAATATATAGAAAATGGCTTCAAAATTGTTGTTAATTATTTTTTCGAAATAAATAATTGAGAATATAAAAACTCAAAGATTCCATAAAAATTTATACTTTTCATTGTGTAGCACTATAAATATTTTTTGTTTTTCTTTGACGTTTTTTTTTTTTCAGAAAAAATTAAAAATATTTTTTTACACGCGATTTGCAATTAAAATTCATGTTAAGGTTTTGTTTTAAAGGCGTAAATAAAATAACGCATACCCTAATATAAATACATATATTTATGTATATATATTTAAATCAATTTAATCACTTTTTTATTTCATTTAGACACCTTTATTTTGCTACAATAGCAATAAATACGGCACGGCTTGCATATTATTTTATACATATATAAGTGTTTACATATTATAATTTTTATTTATTTTCGAACTGGTATTTTTCCAATATAAAATTTTTAAATGCACTTTTTTCTTTACAAACCAATTTTCATATATAGTATTTTATTACGTAATATTAGAGAACGTTTTCAATTATTGTAATTTTTGTAACTAATTCTTTGCATTTGCTTCTTAATATCACTTCAAAAGCATACAAAAACAACTTTGACTTATATAAAATAAACAATATAGCATGGGCATAGAATAATTTTTTTTATTTTCATTTATTTTTTTTTTAACTCTTTTCTGCATTATTTTTTTTTTTTACTTTAATAATACATTTTTTTATGTGTTAATAATATATTTTTATTTTGAAAATAATTTTTTTATTTTTTTTATTTGAAATATATATTTTTTTATGTATTAATAGTATATTTTTTTATTTTGAACATAATTTTTTAATTTTTTGATTTTAATTATATATTTTTATATTGAAATTTTTCTTGTTTAAAAATAATTTTTCGCCTTTTCACAAAAATAATTCACGTTTGAATTTTTCACCAAAAATTAGAAGTAACCATAGACCGACAAATCAACAACAAAAATAACGTCTGGCAAATAATAATAGACGCGCGCGTGTATAACTCAGGCGCTTGATTGCGACAGTATGCGCGAGACGTTTGAATTCGTACTCAGTTCACGGCAACCAGCAGCGACAAGTGGTAGGTAGGTACCGCTAACAACAATAGCAAAACAAGCAAACGACGATCACTGAATGGGCAATCACACAAAATGAAATGGCAAAAACAAATTGAGAGAAAAAAGCTATAAATAAAAGGAAAAGCACCGGTAGACACACATACTGCACACACACACTCACGCAGCTGAAGCTGAAGGAAATGAAAAGCTGTGGACTGCATAAAAGGTGTGAGAAAAAGAGTACAAATAAGCGCATAAACCAAATACAGAGCCGGATGTTTGGGAAATGCTCGAAATGGACGAAAAAGAAATCTCGTCCGCACAGCGCAGCAGTTGGCAGAAGTAGATAAAAGGCGAAAACAATGAAAGCGTCACATAAGCACCAAAGAGATTCTATGAGCACGCGTACGCAGTGAGAGCGTAAAAAAGCTAAGAGCTCAAAAGTTCAAGCATAGTAAAGTGTCATGATCGGTGCATAATAGAACAGCTGTTTGTTGTTATTCTGTTGCTATTTGTTTAGCATTTGTTTATTTATTGTTTATAATTTTAAGCTTTTGCTTTTAATTTGCATTTTCCCCAGGAACTTGTTTTTTATTAAATAAACATTATAAGTGTTTTGTTTTGAGATTTGTATTTTGCATTTTCATTTTACTAGTTGCCTGTGAGTTCAAAAAACATAATTTTTACATAAATTCTTTTTAATAAAACCGCCAAAATATTATTTATTTAGCTAATAAGCAAAAAGGAAATTCTTAATCTTAGTTTTTAACGGTTAAATTTTTTTTAAGGAACATTTTTGATAAAAAAAATCAATTAAAAATATTTAAAAAAAATTTAAATAAAAAAAATATTAATAATATTAAAAAATGTAATTGAAAAAAATATTGGATTTATACATAAATAAAAAGTTACAAAAAAGGTATTATTTTTCATAAAAGGGTCCAAATTTACCTAAAATACAAAAGTGGAAATCTAAATTTTATTTTTTTATTATTTCATTTTAAACAAGAAAGTAACATTTTTGATAAATAAAAATCATTGAAAAATACTGAGCAAAATTAAAGTTAGGAAAAAATTATAACAAAAATGAAAAGTATGAAAAAAAGTAACTAAAAAAATTATTGGATTTATACTTAAATAAAAAAAATTAATTTAGTTTTTTTAATTTACCTTAATGACAAAAGTGAAAATCTAAATTTTATTTTTTACTATTTAATTTTAAAAAAGAGAATGATATTTTTGATTAAAAAAATTAAAATTTTAAATTAAATTTAAATTAAAAAAATACATACAACTAAGAATATTAAAAAAAAGTATTAAAATAAATAAATATTTTATTTTTACTTTCCGCATTAAAAAACACTGACAAGACCACAAAATAAAATTTTTAACTTCTAAAACAAAATATTTATTTGATTTATGACAAATAAAAATATTAGAAAAAAAAATAATAATTAAACAAAATTTAAATTTGTTTTTTAAAAGAGGACCGAAATGGTATTTATTCACCTAATACAAATGAACTTCAAATTTTATATTTCACTATTTAATTTTATATAAGAGAATAATATTTTAGATAAAAAAAATTAAAAATAAAATATAAAAAAATAAAAAAATTAAAATTAAAAAATAAAAAAAAAATTCATATATAAATTTAAAAACAAAAAATTAAAAAAAAAATGAATAAAAATTTAAAATAATTCAATAAAGAAATTATATTTTTTTTAAATGAGGTGCAAAACTTTATTTATGCACCGAATATACAGGAGTGAAATTCTTAATTTAATTTTTACCATTTAAATTAAAATAAAAGAATAAAAAATTTTAATTAAAAAAAAAATTTAATTAGAAATGTAAATGAAAATTTAAAAAAAAATTAAAATAAAAAATTAAAAAAAAAAAATTTAAAAAAAATTAAAAAAAAAGAAAATTAAATATTTTTTTAATGAAATATGATTTTTTACCATTTAAATTTCACTTTAAAAAATACTGAAATAGGTGCTAAACAAAATTTTTGACTCTTAAATATAAATAAGTTTCATACTTGTCTTTAAACAAAAAAAAAGAAAGACTTCGAAACGAAATTTTTTAATAATAATAACGAAATGTGAAAATCTACGAAAAAATGAGGCGTCTTTCAAAAGATTTCAATACCGGAGATTTAATCTGTAGGAACCAGAAAGGCGGTCGGTGAACTGACTGTACTCAGAATATTAAGTTTATGGAGGAAAAATTTCTTCAGCATATCGATCGGAATCGGGAAAATCGAACTAACAGACGTTCCGATGCCCCAATATTAAGTAGTTTAAGCAATTGCCAACTCAAATAATAATAAAGCGGTGGGAGCTGATGATAAACCGGCTAAACAATATATTTAATATGGCGCCGGAGGACTGACAAGATGCATGCATGAGCTTCTTTGTAGAATATGGAACCGATCAAAAGCACAAGTTGATTTGCCCAACCCCAATTTGAAGAATATGGAACCGATTAAAAGCATAGGTTGATTTGCCCAAAGTCCAAAAGAGACTATTTTATGATCGATTGAGGTCCACCGTCAACGCACTAATGCGTGGTAACAATACCAATTCGACTAAAATCACCTGAGCGGCGCCTACGACAAAGAATTAAAAGAAGACGAATGAATATAGAAATATAAATAAGAAAAACTAAGACCTAGCATTAGGTGCTCGGCTGATATTTATGCTATGTTCCCAGATCGGTAAAAAAAAGTGCATACAACAACAGTAATTTTTAGTCTAATAACACCTAACAAGAATGGTTTTGATCTCGTGTTCCCTACTAGACCACGAAAATTATAAGTAAACAACTTTATTGTCTCTGTCTGTCGTGTGATTTCTGAAACCCAAAACTGAGTGATGCCGTTTCCACCTGAACATTTTTTTGCAATCTCTCATATTTTCTATCTAATGCGATTGCTCTTAACAAATATTACTTAATTTGCATATTTAGTTACCGAATTATGGCGATTACCGTATGTTTCAAAATTACCGTGATACAGGAGGTGAACGCGAACTTGATTAGATTTCAACCACTTGCACTAGGGTATGTATTTATGGCCCAAGGAATACGTGAACCAATTTTCATTAAATTACAATTTTATTTATCGTGTACACGGACGAACAGACAGACAGACAGACGTGGCTAAATAACTATTTCTTGTTATTCCACATTTATCTCGTTCATTTTATGCCGCTGCAAACAATCCTTAGCTGAAGAAATCTAATATAAAATTTATTAATAAAAAAAAAACTCCCAATAATACGAGTGGACCAAATATACAAATTTTGTGCGTTGGGTATAAAAGAGCAGGTACAATTGTAAATGGTTTTACTTCTTTTGATTACGATAAAGTACTTTTTTTTGCGTTTTACTACAATTATTACTCATTACCAATTCAAATTTTTGTTTCAATTTGATTGATGATTAAGATGTCTGTATGTATGTATGTATGTATGTATGTATATATGTAGGTGTGTGCATTACATTTTCAACTTATAAGGAATTATTTTGACTTTCTACTTTTTTTGGGCAGCAACGTCATTGAGGTGTAGATGCTTTTCAACCCACATAAATATGTTATGTACATACATACATACACATTGACGTATGTATATCTGTTTTACATAAATTCATTTTACATTGCTACCTGTGTTGGCAAAATTCAGCAAAAAGTTATTTGTTCACATACACATATATACATACACATATCTGTATAAAGCAAAATACAGTAGTTTAATTTGGGACAATCAAACATGAGACGTTGTTGTATTTTAATTATTTTTTTGCATATTTCTTCTCTTAAACATATTTCGTATATTATATTAGGTCGAGTAAAAAGTTCGTTCGGTTTTTTATTTGTCCGATTTAAGTCAAATCCGCCGTTTTGTACGTAAATTTGTTGCCAAAGAGATGCCAACTTCAGTATACCTCTCTTATGGAAGGTTGCGTCCCTATTGGAAAAAAAGTCGGAGTCAATTTTCACGGACCTCTCTTCAGGCCAACTACTCACCTTAAGCGCATTCGCCATGGACAGGAAAAGATGGTAATTACTTGGTTCCAGGTGCGGACTATAAGATGAATGCATTAATACCTCCCATCCGAGCTCCTGGAGCTTCTGACGCATCACCAAGGACATGTGTGGCCTGGCGTTGTCCTGATGAAACACAATTCGGCCTCTGTTAATCAAAGATGGCCTCTTCTGGATGAGTGCTGCTTTCAAGCGGTCCAGTTGTTGGCAGTAAAGAGACGAATTGTCCGTTTGGCCAGAGGGGAGCAGCTTATAGTATATGATTCCTTGCCAATCCGACCAAACGCACAGCAAAAACTTCCTGGCTGCCAATCCGGCGATTCGCAGATGGAAATTCGGTCCACCATGTTTTTTTTTTGCGTTAGCTTGTAGGGCATCCAAACATCGAGCTTTGTTTTGAATCCAAGGTTATGCGAATAATTCCAGACGGTTTCTGGCTTATCTTTAGCTCTTCAGCAATTACGTGACGGCCTGTTTCCACTATATCCATGATCGCAATTTTCGACGACAGGCCTCCCGATGCGTGGGCCATCTTTGACATCGAAATAACCGGAACGGAACCTAGCAAACCACTTTTGTGCTACACGTTCGTTTACAGTATCGGGCCCATAAACTAAATTAACTTTTTTCAGCAGCTTTGGCTGCTTTTTCGCCTTGATCGAATAAAAATTGTAAAAGATAGCGAAATTTCTCTTTGCTAGTGTCCGTTTTTAACGAGCACTCACAACGTACTGAGTCAATCAATCGAAAACTGTCAAAAACAAATTTTTAGCGCGGATAAACACGTATTCAGCGTCGTGTAGCCTGACATGATGCGACACGTAACACTAGTACTATGGACAATAACGCCATCTCTTAGATAAAAACCGAACGTACTTTTTACTTGACCTAATATTTTGTACCAAAAAAGGCAAAGGAAGAAGGATTGGTCAATTAGCTCAGTAGTGTTAAAGATGGCCCCCAGCCAGTTTGGAATCACTTGAAAAGGAATGGATATACAAGGAAACTCGATTGATTGTTACATAAATAAACGAGCAAAAATCCCATGCACAGAATTTCTATCTGCGAAGATCCACTGAATCGTGAAAAGAAACAACTGGTGATAAAAAGTTAATCTCTTACAGCAAAGTCAAACAGAAACGGTCGTGGTCGAAGTGCAGTGAGCCGACATAAACGGTCTCGAAGTCAGGCTTGACAGCCAGGAAGGTTTTGTTGTGTGTTTGTGATGGGGTAAGCAAGGAATCATCCACGATGAGTTGCACACCTCTGTGGCGAAGGCCTTAATTCGGACCTTTAGTACTGTTAATAATTGGACCCAGCTTTGAATAGCAGGATGGGAATTAAATTTCGCTAGAATATTAATTTAATTTCCATTTGTTTGAAAAACCTTAAGGTGCACACCTCAAATTGTTGGAGAAATTAAGATACCGCTCACGCGATTATAGCCAATTTAACAACATTACGCCATTCGTTTTTTTTTTTTTGCTGTTTGGCGCCAATTGGAAATACCAAGTACAGCCAGGTCCTTCTCCACCTGGTCTTTCCAACGGAGTGGAGGTTTACACCTTTCTCTGCTTCCACCGGCGGGTACTGCACCGAAAACTTTCAAGGCTGGAGTACTCGCATCCATCCGGACCACAAGACTTGGCCAGCAATGCTCCCTTATAACTCGTACAGCTCGTCGTTCCATAGTCTGCGATATTCGCCGCTGCCAAATCGCAAAGGACCGTAAATCCTACGCAAAAGCTTTCTCTCGAAAACTCCCAACGCCGACTCAGTCAGATGTTGTCATCGTCCATGCTTCTGCACCATATAGCAGGACGGGAAAGACGAAGGACTTGTCGAGTTTGGTTTTCGTTCGTCGGGAGATGACTTAACTTTTCAATTGCCTACTCAGTCCAAGGTAACACCTGCTGGCAAGAGTGATTCTGTATTGGATTTCAAGGCTGGAATTATTGTTGGTGTTGATGTTGGTTTCTAGGTAGACGAAATTATCTACGACTGTGACGTGGGAGACAAGTCGCGAGTGCGAAACTCTTATAGAAAATTGTACCTTCTCTGTTCAGCTCGGCAGCTCGTATTATTCTCTCAAGTATTAAATTGAAGAAATCATATGACAAAGAGTCACTCTGTCTGAAGCCTCGTTTGGTACCGAACGGATCGGAGTGCTCCTTCCCAATTCTGACTGCGCTTTTGATGTTGTCTAGCGTCAGCCTACCCAGCCGTATAAGTTTAGCGGGGATACCAAATTCAGACACAGCGGCGTAAAGGCAGTTCCTATTCGTGCTGTTAAATGCGGGTGGTGGGTGTCGATCCTCTTTTCATGGGTGCTTTCCAAGATTTAGCGCATGGTTAATATCTGGTCAAGGGCCACACTGCTAATGTCCAATCAGATTGTTTAAGGAGGTTTATGCAAATTGGGCGAACCAGATTCGGAAACGTACGCTAAAATTGTAAATGAGAGCTGGTTTTTTCAATACGACATGGAAACCAAGCGTCAAAGTTTACAATGGTTGTCACCGCAAACACCCGCCCGAAAAAAGAGCCGAGGGTGAAAACGAAGATTATTGTCATCCATAAAGGGGCAAACTATAAATCAAGTCTACTATCGCCAAACATTCGAAAGATTAAGAAAACGAGTCGAAAGGGTGCGCCCAGGCATCGCTCGTAACTGGATCCTTCAGCATGACAACGCGCCGTGCCACACCGCCCTCAGCGTGTCCCAGTGTTTGGCCTCTAAAGGGATCGCCGTGTTGCAACAAGTTCGTCCAATTAGTCACCCTGCGAATTCTCTTTGTTCTCTAATACAAAAATGTTGGTCCAAGGAACCCACATCGAGTCGATTGAGGACATCCAGGCGGCCGTGACGAGCGAACTCTTGGACATCCCAGTCGAAGCGTGTCAGAAATGTTACGACGCATGCAAAACGCGCTGGAAACATTGTATAGCTGCCCAAGGTGACTCCTTTGAAGGGGTTGGCAGAGTTGTAGAATAATTTTGAAATATACGGTTTTCAAGGAATCAGTCTCATTTCTTAATTGTCACACCTCAGATGTAGAAACAAGTGCCCAAACATAATAATAAAACTCGTTGGAAGTTTGCTGCCAAACTGGTGCACCAAAGTAAACTTACGAAAGTGAAGGGAATGTCACATTTACTCTGAATGCCTTCTGCCCAATACAACGTAAAGTAAATTAAGTTGAATACCTTGGCATCTACCAAGAAAGGCGACTGATTGGAAAGAACCATATTTCTGATAACAAACAGTAACTTAAACTTAAAACCTGTAGTCTGTATTAGCTACTGGGTAAAAATTCATTCTGTGTACCGTGGTATATACATGGAAACCTTGAAATACCATAAATCCCCTAACGATCGTTTTATACGGCACAGAAAGTCGAACAAGTCTTCAAAGAAGAGATCTACCAAAATTTCGTAGAGCAACGCCTTATCTGCCATCTGTGGGCTAAAGAACTAAAGCTGAAATTCGCTGGCAATTAAGATGCCAGAACTTATTATTGGACTTTAAATAAATTCCCTTAAAAAAGGGAGAAGCTCGGCCGAAAATTGTTTCAGCAGTTACCATGCGCAAATTATATTATATAGCGCCAGTTCCCAACAAAAATAAGTCAGTTCATTACTTTAACATTTTTCTCTAAGGCTTAGAGCGGGAAATAATTCGGTTAAAGTCTATTGGGGCTGACATCAATTAATGCTTCGGTGAAACATATTTGAACAAGAAACGTGGCCATACCCACAACTCCAGATGCCATACTATTTTAAGTAGAATCCTTGCGCTCAATGAGCTAGGTTAGAGGGTTTTTTTACGCCTTGACCTGGAGAGTTTCTCAAAAATATTTTCTCATATATACTAATTAATTGACTTCTCACACATACATATATGGAAGGCTGGACAATCTACCATTTACTTTTCGAATTACTGCCTATTTGAGCTAAGAAATCTTCAATGACATTCTCGTTGTATCAAATATTCAGCACAAGGTTTATAGTTTACGCTTCAAGGATGGTGAGTCTTTAACTGAAACTTCAAGAAAATAATGCACGAAATTTGAGCGATAAACTCGGCTTACAGGCACTTTATGGATTAATTTGTCCAGCGGGTTCACCAAATCGGTGTGCTGACGGACACACCAACTCGTCAGTTTAGAGCGAAATATTGCTGCTGTAGCTAAGAGGGTGTTCGATCTCCGTGAGAAGGCTTATGAGTGGGTTGAAAAATCGGGTGGGGAGAGTGGTAGTAATGTTGAGGCATTCCCAAAAAGGAGAATTCATTGAAAGATATTCATCCGTTCTTTTTTATAAGACATTTTAAGAGAAAAATGCTTTCGTAGTCTTCCTTTCACTACCCTCATCCCTTTAAAGGTGGCTAGGGAGGGTGCAGTTCACCTGAATGAATCGAAGTTTGATGAAAGGCTCGGCATACCAAACTCAGTTACCCAAACCAATATAATTTAATTGGGTAGATAAAAATTAACCGTGACCATTATGACACTCGATGGTCTTATGATGTGCTCATAACAAATTTGATTTGGGTTGCTGTGAATTTTAAAGCTAATTGGGTAGAATATAGGCGATGGCCGGGGAGTAATCCAACTGTAGCGACTTGTTTTTCATATTCGGAAGCATATATGTAGAATATACTTGGATGGGCCACAGGTTAGCAATGCGAAATGCCATTCTGAAGACCAGGGTTCGGTTCTTGGTTCGACCGACATCTAAAATATAAAAAATTAATTTTTCTAATTGTGGTTGCCCTTTCGCAGGGACTGTCAAGCTCTCCGAGTGTATTTCTGATATGAAAATAAAAGCTCTTCATGAAAATCCATTGACCGTTCGGAGGCGGCCAAGAATAAACTATAGGTCTCTTTATTCGTTAGAAAAATCAAGACGCATTCCACAAATTGAAGAAGGAGCTCGGCAAAAACCGCTTCAGCGGTTATGAAATGGCAAAATTATTATATAAATTATATTTGGAAAGAATTATCGCAGCAGCAGCAGATTTCAACTTTCTTAATGTTCGAATTATTTTCTTTATTTATTTTAACATTATTTTGTTTGTTTTTTCATATTTTTTATAATCTTTTTTTTTCAAGAAGAGGTGCGTGCGTCTGAACACTGACTTGTACCAAAGTTCATAAAATTGAAATATTATTTTTACCGTGCATTTTATGGATACAATCTGCTATAAAATACAGGCAAGTGTTCTTAGCATCATCTATCGGTAGGTAGTGGCGCTGTACACATTTGTTATCACCCACAAGTGAAAGCTTTCCACCACTCAAATATATATTTTAAGCTCATACTAGCTACATACATAGCTCTAGAGCTTGAGGGGGAGCTTTCGGCTCATTTCACCACTCCAAAAAATAAATTCACCAATGGCAAATTAGTAATGAAATTGAAAGTTTTAAGTATGATTTAAAACAGAATTAAAAAAAATCATTTAAAAAAGAAATTAACAGTTATATCAAACTTACCGCTTTGCGTTTATCCGCTTCGGTTGCCGCCGAATTTGAACGGCTCCTAAACAAATCCATTACTTTGGTCATTGGTGAGCGGGAGGCGTCAGCACGACGTACCGCTGTAACGGTGTGATAGTACTGTAAAAAGTTTATTAAAATATTAATTACGAAAAGAGTTAATAATTATAGCTTATACAAGTTTAAGTATCACGACCTTGTGATCATGAAATTTAACGTTTTATAAAGCAAGCTCTCCCACTCACCTGAGCATCGCTGCCTTGATGCGGATGCGCCGAACCATCTTTGTACTTATTCTTCGCACTGCCACCTTCCGCGGCGGTTATCGTTACCGCTGGATGTTGACGTTTATCGTGATGATGATGATGGCCGCCAATCAAACCCGAATTCTGCATGACCACTTTCATTTGATTCATAATACCACCACCGCCAACAACACCACCACCGCCACCACCACTGCCAGAGTGTGTACTACTCGAACTGCTGTTATCCGTACCAGGCGCGCCGGCTACAGTGCCACTACCAGTGACCAGAAGCAGTGAATCTTTACGCTTCGTATCCGATTTGGTACGCTGTCTAAATACATCGAATATGGTGGGACGACGATTGGGACTCGCGATACCGTGCACTGTCGACTGATTCAGCACGGGTGAATCTTCACCGCTGCGTCGTCGCTCTAACGAACCGGAGCGTGGTGTGGCGCCAACACGTTCGGTACTGCGTGATATTTTCTCCATATTGCGATTGAGCTTCTCCAGTTTGGCCGCTTCGCGTTCTTGACGACGCGCTGTTTCACGCTCCAGCTTGCGCGCCTCCTTTTCGCGACGACTAGCTTCCTTTTCTTGTCGCCTGGGCGATAAATTATAAATAAATGAATAGAAGAAAACAATAATTTTTTCTATGCAAATACTTACTTCGCCTCCTTCTCCATCTTTTTGGAAGCCTTGCGTGCTGCTTTGGCATTGGGTTCCGCCGGTGCGCTAGAGGGTCGCGAGCCAGGCAAACGTCCATCTTGTTCCTGAAAGTGTACATGTCGTATGTGATTATGTTTTCTAGGTGTTTTTTGCATAAAAAAATATATATTAAAATGTTTTTTTTTATTCTTTTTCTCTATTTTCACAGTGTCACAGAAGGAGAGCAACTGTTGCACTCAGCAGCGCCAAAAGCACTGAATACAATTTTTTTGGCGTTTTGTCTTTATTTGGCAAAAATATGTATGTACATATGTACTAAATAGTATGTACTTATATGTATATATACCCTAAAATAGACACTATAAATACGTTTGCTTATTTTATGGCAAGCAAACCGCTTATTATTGTATGTAAGTGTGTGTAGTAGCAACCGTTAGTCAATTGTTGATACAACTTAATTGGCCGCAATAAGTTTCGACCGCTGGAAGCCAAACGCAGTGACCGAAATCAAATTGATTATCAATTAATTTGTCTACGCAAGTCAATAAAGGCGAGGATACAGAGGACCAAAGGCCGCTAAAAGAAGAAAGAAGAAGGAGGACGTCTAGCAACAGGCGGTTCGCTACAACGGCAATATTTATGCAGGAAATTCGGTTGTGATGAAATTGGGTTATAATCAACAACAACATGATGCTTGCGGTTGGACGGAAATATTGAAGAATAGAAAGTTTTTCCAAGTTTGAGTTGGCTTCGAGGAACCAGTTTGCTGTCAGAAAAAATTAAAAGTTACAAATTTATTCATACAAAGGTCCACTCCTTAATCATTTAATTGCATTGAATATTAATCCAAAATTATCTTCAAAAATTAGCAGTGATGCTCGCCACTGAACAAATGAGAGGGTAATTCAAATTTGGCCTATCGACTACTCCTCCGTAAATCTCTCCAACTCTCCGGAAGGTATTTATTAAATTTTAGATAATATCTAATATAAAAAAGATTTTTTCGTTTGGATCGGACTCTAAGTCTTTTTTCTGGGAAAAAAAAGTTATTCAAAACCATTCTTCAAATCCAATTTAACACTCAAAACCACGCACTCTCGTCGAACAATCTCATTTTTAAAAGAATACCAACACCGTTAAATTGTGCATATGTCAATAATTGAATAATCTTTGATTTATAAAAACTTATATATGTATGTAAACTGACTAAAATGGCTTAAACCGAGACCAACATACTCACAGAAACATGCATACGCATTCCAAATATACAAAAAATAAAAAAAAATAATGAAAAGGAGAATGCAAAGAAATTATAATACCTTTGACGAAATAATAATCACACATCAAATGTGCATTGATAATGGTAATGATAACAGAAATGAAAATATTAGGATGAGACAGACAGGCGCACAGATATAGGTATATACGAGTATGTACAAATTGTGAGCAAGAAACCTAAGTCCATGGTGATTATGTTTCATTACTTGATAAAAATTTTATTTAAATAAAAAAAAATGTGAGAAATAATAAATAGTTCAAATAAAAATTTGTATAGGAAAAAAAATAACAAAAAATTTCAAAAAAAAATATAAAGCAATTAAAAAAAAATAATATAATTAAATAAATAAAATTTAAGTAAAATAATAAACTAAAAAATAACAAAATAAAATATAATAAAACAAAATATGATAGAATAAAATATTATAATACGAAGTAAAAAATTACAAAATATAACTAAATAAAAAAAAAAAAGTAAATTAGTTACCAATTTTTCAAATAAAATGGAACAAAGAAATAAAATTAAGTAAATATTTTGAAAAATATAAAGCCAAATCAAACGAAATAAATTTAATATAAACTCAAATTTAAAATTATAAAATAACATAATAATTGAATTAAATCAAATAAAATGATTTAAAATTAACTTAAATAAAATAAATTAAAGTTAAATAAACTAAAACAAAACTAAATTATATTGAATAAATAAAATTTATTTAAATAAAAATTAAAAAAAATAGAAAAATAAACAAAATACATTAAAGAAAAAAGTAATTTTACATAATAAAACAAAATATGTTATAATAAAATATAATAAAAAAAAATATTAAAATTAAATAAAAAATAACAAAAAAGTTAAATTAGTAACAAAGTTTTGTAATCAAAATAATTTATAATTAAAATAAATCAAAATAATAAAGAAATAATAAAAAATTAACTATTGCTAAAAAAATAAATAAAATGCAATAATATAAAATAAATTTAATATAAATTAAAATTTAAATTAAAAAAAATAAAAGAATGAAAATGAAATAAAATAAATTGAATTAGTAAAAAATAAATAAAAGTAAATAAATAAATTAAAACTGCAAACAAAATTGTATTTAAACATAATAACATAAAATAAAATGTAAAAAAAAACATAAAATAACATACAGTGAAATTAAATAAAACCAAATTAAATTAAATAAAGTAATATAAAATTAAATAAATAAAATATATAAAAAATTAAATGAATAAAAAAAATAAAAAAAAAAATATAAAAAAAAATATAAAAAAAAATAAAAAAATGATGCAAAGTAAATTCATAAAAACCAAATAAAATGATTTAAAATAAAATCGAGTATAAAAAAGAAAACAGATTTAAATCAAAAATCGAACGATTTAAAAAGAAATACGAATAGAACAATCCCAGGTTCACAGCCCGGTAAATTCTCTCTTTTCGGAGGCCTACATCATACGCAGAACACTCTCTCTCCGAGTTTCCGATAACTAAAATCCATGGTTTTGGCTGTGGGTTGATTCGTCGGTCATGCCGGAATCTTTTATGTACATATATAGAAGAAAAATATAAGAAGAGCAAAACATAATGGAGCTCAGAAGGACTTATATACTCGTACATATCGTCAAAACTTTTGGTTATTTTATTTTATGAAAATTTTTAAATTTCAAAATTAGCGAATTTATTTATGGAAAGCGCCATTTTGTTTGTTTACATTACAAAAACAGCTGACATCAACTGATTTCTAAATTATTATCCTTATCTACTTTTATTCGATTTAAATTTCCCTCATTCCATTATGATACGCTAACAGATTCTTTACTCTCCTTTTTGGTATGACATTTCCCTTTGCGTTGATTCTTTCATTATCTGCGTATTTATTCTGAAAATCTTTCATTCTAACGTTATCCGCATCATCTAGTTTGCCTGGTAACTTAGCAACAGCCTTATGACTTTATATTTGACAGGCAAAAGCGAGTTGACAGATTTCACAAGATTTCATGCTTGTAAACCTCTACGATGATATAAATTTTGCTTGTAAATATCTCTAGAATTTTAAGATTTTTAATTTATATATATATCATACATACATATTTATATATGTATTTATATATGTATGCATGTGGCACTTTGTAACTGTAGATGCGACTTTCGTCCGAGCTTTTCCAATAATTGTAGTGACCTGCAGTTTATTCCAAGCCACCTCCGAATGGCCGTTGGATTCTAATGAAGAGCTTCTATTACATGTCAAACATACATTCAAAGGGCTTAACATTCTTATTAATAGAAATTCCAAATACATATATACATAAATAGTCCTCAAAATCTCGAAAGATGACGAGTATGAGCAAAATAAGCATTTCTGTCCCCAAGCTTAAAAACTAACTTTATGAATCCATTTCCCCTCACGCCTCACTGTACGAATGTGAGCATTTTTTTAAGCGGAAAAGTATCAAACTTCTGAATAAGAAAATAAAATAAAAATAACTTCCTTGCCAATCCCACTTTAATTATTGGTTGGTTGTTTTCCTCAAATAAAATTTCCACTTTGTTTATAAATAAAAGTACATACATATTATTTTAGTATATAAAAAAAATATCTGCACATGTATATATGTTTGTATGTAAGCAAAAAATGCGTACCAGCTGGTGACTGACTGTGGCAGTTATTTGTGGATCAATTACGTCATCGGTGATGAACTTATCTTCTCTTAGCCAAACATATAAATTTGCGTATGCACATAAATACTTAAATACAGCAGGGAACTTGCAGAAGCAGAACCGTAGAGAAGATATGAAAACTATAAAATATATACATACATAAATACAACAAAAAAAACTCCTGAACAAATGAAGAATAATGCGAACACAACAGAACACTAGCAAGCAACGAAATGTTAAAGGGAATGGCGAATGTACCAGAAGAAGAAAATCACAAATGAGTATGCAACAGGTTTCTTTGTGAGAAATCGTAAACCGGAAAGTGGAACGTCACGTGTTTACTGACAGAACGGATAAAAACAAATTCGAAGATAAATACACAAATATGCAGAAACAAATGTATGTATGTACGAGGTGTGGCAATTACGTAATGAGATTGATTCCATAAAAACCGTATAATTTAAAATTATTCGACAACTCTGCCAACCCCTTTAAAGTAGTACTCTGGTCACGCCGCTTGGATGTTCTCAATCGACTCAAAATGGGTTCCTTTGACCACCGATTTTGTACTAGGGAACAATAAGCCGCTTGTTGCAACAAGGCGATCCCTTTAGAGGACAAATACTGGGACACGCTGAGGGCGGTATGGCACGGCGCGTTGTCGTGCTGAAGGATCCAGTGACGAGCGATGTCTGGGCGTTGACTATTGACTTTCGAGTATATGACGGTAGTAGACTTGATTTACGGTTTGCCCGGGTGGAAAAATTCTTTGTGGAGTTCTTCGTGTCAGTCCGCACCTCGACTGGTCTCCCGCTCCGCGCTTTCACGTCCCTCTTCAAACTCGTTTTGCCATCGAAACAGCTGGGCATGATTAAGAGCACTATCACCATGTACTTTTACAATTTTATCGTCGCCCCTGCGTGTTAGGGGTTCAAGAATTTACCCGCGGTAAGGCATGCCTATCGTAAGAGGCGACTAAAATCCAATAGTTCCCATAGCGGCAGTCGGGTCTCTATACCAGAACGATCCGGATTTTTATCCGGCCAAGGACTGTCACTCCGGCAACATTTCCCAAAAAGTACTTTGGGGAATATTTTTGCGGATACAACAACAATAACAACGGCGACAATTTTAGCATACGTTTCCGAAGTTATTTCGCCCAAA